TTGATGCTTCGTGGGAACACCTTTTCATCTGGTCAAGGAGGCAAGAGTCAGTGAGTCAAACATTTAAGCATTGTGCCATTAAGAGCAAAGGTAGCCAAGTACTAACATCTCCATTAAAACGCAAAGCATCTGGAGAACAGAATTACTTCAAGTTGCACAGGTCAAATTACACCACCTAGATGAACACAACACAAAGTTCGGTGCAACCTGAAAGAGGGGACACACGGAATGCTGTATCCCAACACAGACAAGAACCTACACATGTTCTTTCATACACCTGCCACTGCCCTGCACTGTGCATTCAGTGTAGGTAATTTCCCTGTACCTTTAGTGAGGGTCCAGTCAGCAGCAGTCAGCATGGCCTTCTCCAGTGGATCTCCAACCAGCTGTCCATCATCCAGAGTGACCAATGAGTGACAGGTAGCCACCACCCGGTGTGTCTCAACTGGGATCTCAGACACAGGCATCACCTCCTTCCCTTCTCTGTCATAAACACAAACATCAGTCAATGCACTCCACACAGTGCAAATGTATGTAAACGTTTACTAACCTAAACTATAGGATAGTATGTTTAGCGTTTTACTTTTTAAATTGTGAAGCACAAGCACAAAGAATGGTGGGCAGGGTTTACCTGAGCCCTGCTACTCCTCGTACCACTAGACTGTCACTGGTCAGTGTTCCTGTTTTGTCAAAACAGCAAACCTCTACTTTCCCTGCAAATGGTATCCTGAAGGGCTCTGTACAGAACACATCTAAGCAGGAGTAGAAAAAGAAGACTCAAATGAACCACTGTTACAAGCATTGTATTATAAACTGCTTTGTCTCTTAATACACTATATTCAACACACATGCAGGACAGGAGCATACACAGACATACAAAGTTTAGCCAGGGCGATAAGAGACGTATTAACCGCCAGAGAAAGCTCTATGGGGAGTTCGGGTGGAACCACTGAGGTGAGGATTAGCGTGCACTCCAGAAAGAGCTTGTAGCGGTTCCTGCTGGCATCCTTGGTCCCTGAGGGAGTAACACAAAGCACAAAGATAGCATTTAGATATTACTTATGCTCTCACCTCCAGCTATTAGCCATCCCTTTAACACAGACATTATCACAGTCAAATAAGAATCTTAAAGAATTGATTCTGTGCACCTCACCTTCTACCCACACATAAACAGCTGCAGCAATGGCAAACACAAGGAGGAAGAGGATGAAGATGAAAGTCTCTAGGTTGTTTGCCGTCACTCTCTTCACACCAAAGAGGATGGTCCGTAACAGTTTACCCTGGAGGCACGTTTGTACGCACAATCAGTACACTTTCACGGCTGACTCAACATGTCCTACACTGAATTGTTGTCAAAACTAGAATCAAATTGCATGACAACGAAAAGGGGAGGATAGTAATATAAACACACTAAGCAACTTCCTCACCTGAGAGGTGTAGAATCCTGTTCTTAGTACATAGGCAACACAGCCATTGTCTACAGCTGCACATAAAGGAGAAGATTAATGAGCTTGCACATTGTTTTGATGATAGAGGTGGGTGATACATGCTCTAGTGAATCCACTGATTTGACAGCCGGTATTTGTTGTTGGTAACAGATAAATGAAGTGAGGTTTTCGCACTTACGTTTGAGTCCAGCACTCGCCTTTAAAGGGGGGCTATGTTGGACCACTTTTGTCCCCCCAGAGATGACGTGGAGTCGAGAGTCTGTCTGAAGGTCCAGGATTCGCTCTGGGTCCAAGTCCTCCACTGGCTCCTGCACAACTCATATTTTCAGCAGTAATTATGATATCCCAGAATAATCCCATGCCATTTAGCATAACTGAGGCTTACCCTAAAGCTTATACCCTCAGCTCATGTATATATTTATTTGACTCTAACCTTCATCTGTGGCACAGACTCTCCGGTCAGCATGGCTTCATCCACAATGCAACGGCCCCTGAGTAGCAGCACATCACACGGTACCAAGTTGTCCTGGGGCGAACGTCCTGTGAAGAAGAGAATACATATTTTAAACACACTTTCACAGACAATCTGATGTTGGTGGTGAGAGACCATATAAACGTTGACAGGACATTTACCTATTGAGACAATGTCACCAGGGACAAGCTCATCACTTGAAATAGGTCTCCACTTCCTGTTACGATATACCTGTCACAGAATACATACAGTTAATTTTGGATAAATACATGGGACATTTACTGTAAATAAAGAATTTTGAGAGGCAAGACAAAATGTTCAAAAATGTCAAAATGAATATACTAAATTTGAAATTGGACAACACCCACCTGGATCATGTAGGGCTTGTTTCCCATGCGGCGGATCTCGGACATATTTCTCATTTGCTGCTGGACCAGGGAAGCTTCAAATGCCACCAGCATGAACAACGTGAAGACACTGTAGTACCAGTACTCGTCCAAACACCAAAGCCCTACACAGAACACCTGATGGATGGCAGACAGTGGACAACTTCAGACACAATTACAAGGTAAAAAACACAATCATATGTAAAGCCACACACATACCTGGAAAACAAAAAAAGGAGCTGTGGCTCTCTCTCTAAAGAGCTCCAGAAAATCTGGCACCATCATCTCAGCACGATTGGTGCCGTAGCGCTTTTCTGCAGCTCTCAGTTCGGCCTCCTCCTGGTAGCCACGGCAGGACTGAAAGTAGCCCATTGAGTAGCTTATAGGAAATGCTATTGGAAGGAAACATTTCTTCTCTCTGTGGTCAAATACGTAGCGTATCTTTTGAAACTCAAAAGATAGAACCTCCTCCCCATTCTCATCCTGTTGGTCAGAACAACAGAAAGAAAGAACATTTTTATTCCAGCATTCATTCAACAAAGGCAAATATGGACAGTTTTACAGTTCTTTAAAGCCACGTCAAACCAATCACTAGACAGGAGTTACTGAGCTGATGTGGATTTTAAACAAGTGGCAAGATCAAATGTGTCCAATGTGTCCAATGTGTCAAAAGAGAATTTGAGATCTGGGACACATTTCCAATTTAGACAACAGGAGCATCCTGAGAGTAAATACATCAACTGACCTGGTCCCTCTGTAGTGTCACAAGCTCAGCAAAACCGTTGTTGGGGGTGGGTATGACCTTTGCCAGCGTAGCCTTGTTTGGGTCTGGTTCCTGTGTATACAAAGGAACAGGTGAAAAGTTCACACAGTGGAGCACATCAGTATTATTTTTGGATACAGCTCTGTGCCTCTGGAACTTTGTCCTTCTTAAATGAGACATGCCCTGACACACAGCTGCTTGATCAATATGAAGTTCAGACATTCTTTATAAAATTCTTTTACATTTGACCGCAAAAGTTTTACCTTGTTGATACAAACCTATTCTAATGTTTTTTGTAGGATCTAGACTCTCTATAACTAGTTACTGAGAAAGCACACATGCTGAAGAACATGAGCTTTTCAATAATCCTCTATCAATATTGTAGTATCCTAATATTCTGTCATAAACATATTTATTTTCTTTTACATGGGCAAATCCACCACTACTATTGAGGTTTCTTCAAAAATTATTTCAAGAAATACTCTGGAATGCTAGGTGAAAATCACTGTTTCACTTTCACTTACCATTACCAAGTGCATGCATACAACTAGACACTGAACAGGTGATTTTCCATACCGAAACAGATACCATATCAATCAGCAATTAGTCTTAAGGTTAGCATAACACATACATTTTCTATATCATCTTCCTCTAGTAAAAGTATAATCTAAAAGAGAGACACACAGGTTTTAACACACTGCTCAGCAAAAAGAAAAAATCTTCAGATCTTTAAATAAAATAATCATAGGTATCATTGCTACAAGTCCCAGACACAATTTTTAAATAAACGTGAAGAATAAATTGTGGTAATGCTGGTTGAAAATGCCCTTTTATCAGAGAAATGCCATTGCTGATTCAAACTTGTAGTTTTATCAATCATATGTTTGAAATCAGTGCAGTGGCAATAGAGGCCATCTCTCAAACCATTAACCAGGGTTCAAGACAGATACCTGCCCTGCTGTAATGACTTTGAGCAAGATATTGACTCCTTACCTGTTCATGGGTTCATGCTGACCCTGGCCTTTGACCTCTATGTACAAGGTATGGGGAAAACAATGGGTTCCCTAAAGATATCAACAGACTGTCGCATTATTATTGTTATAACTTGTGTTTACCTTGGAACAAGTGAGCCAACAGTGCGCGTGCACGGACCAATACCCAGAGAGGGCTGTGAGGACGTGCGCGATCCCGATAGCGGCTAGCGACAGGAGGCCTGCCTCCGGATACTCAGAGGCACCGTATACTCCTAACCACAAGTACAGCCAGCCTGGGTACAGAACAGCCAGAAACGGGAGGACAGTACCGTGTAGCAGCCGGGGCCGTCGCCTGTACAGCGTCACAGAGCTCACCAGCTCGTCGCCGGTGCCGCTGTCATGCTGGCTGTGGTTCACAGAGGGGGCCATTTGCAGCTCACCCGGTCCCTGGATCCCGTCTGCAGCCATACTCCCCTCTTTCTCGGCGTCATTCATTGTACTTTGTTTCCTCCTCAGCCCCCTCTATCATCCACCACCACCCCGTCTTGCTGTAACCGGTAGAAATACGATTGTACACACTGAGCAGTGCACGTCCAGCTTTCAGAGCCCGTTTACTGAATCGCTCGTTAACTGACCGTGGCTTCCGCATACGTAAACACGCAAAGACGGCAAAGACACGTAATGTGGCACGGCACGATTGAACCGAAAACAACGAACTTTTATTATCTTTCAGACTGTTAAATGCTGTTGTGTAGTTTAAACCCAATATACCATGTGAATAACGAGATTTATTTTGCAAAATATCGACTGTATGTGTCGTTTAATGCTTCAATTCTGCAATTAAGTAGCTACCCCTTTAATAAATTCATCGTCATTACACGGGAGTAGTCAGAGTGTGAGATTGACACAAACCTGAACCAATGACATTAAAGAACTACTTCATTATGCTGTATTTTCATCCAATCAGATAATAATGTATGTGTACGGTGTAGTTCCCGCACAGACATGGCTCCACATGCTGAAATACTGCTGTTTAACCTTGATTGATCAGTTTCTTCGTTTGAGACAAGCCTAAAAGAGCAACATGTAAGGCATTTAAATATATCAACATTACATTTACTATGTTCTCTTGATAGAAGAATAGATACACACTGTAAATAAAGACATTTGTTACCTTGTGAATCAGGCTGTATCCATGGATGTATAAAGAGACCTAACGTTAAGTTATAATAATACATCCACGATTGACCTACTTTATTTCGTTTATGCTTGTTATGGCAAGTTTGTCAGGTTGATGATCGTTGGTACAGTAACCACTGACTATTTACTTACGTCTGGTTCCTTTCCATGTTCCTTTCAGGCAGGCTGCTATGGATATCACTGCAAGGTATTGCAGTAAAGAAATGGAGGCATACGGGTCATGTGTGGCCTCCAACCCATCAACATGGCAGCATAAGTGTCTTGAGCTGAAGATGAAGGTTGCACAGTGCACATCATCACAGTAAGGCAACACACCAGTAAATTCATTCCCATTTGACTCTAACATCCTTAGACCACATGAAAACACTTTCAGAGCACATTTACCCCTGAATTTGTTTTGTAAGTCCAGTGATCCAGAAGATCAGACAGGACTGTTCCAAGGAGTTTGTGGAGTTTGAGCACTGTTTGAGAGAAAACCAGGACAAACCTACCTCCTGCTCACCACATGTGGCTCGCTTTCTGGGCTGTGCAGAGACAGTGGACCTCACTGGAGTGGGTAAGTTCTTGCTGGAATTGGCCAGACACAACTCAAGGTCACAAGGTTGTGAATAGAAGTGATTATAATATAAGAGATAAGAATGTGTAAATTATTATGCTTCCTCACTTGTCTCTTGAAGAAGCAGGGGTTGTTTTTTTATCACACTGAATGTTTTGTGCATGCTGGATATTCAGACTTTGCAGTATGCAGTATGTCTTGTACTTGGAATCTTTAGAATGGCTGATACAAAAATACATGAAAAAAGACCAAATGGGGCTAAGACTGCACCATCTTTGAGAGGTGTTACTTTCATAGTTAACATGCCAATAATTTAATTTTCTTTTCCCAGATACAAATCCAGTACCACAGCCATCATAGAATTTTAACATCTTCCATCACCTTCAGATTACTCCTGTATCCACAGCAGCACAGATGGGCTTGTCTCACACGTGTCCCGGCCATGTTACAATATGTACAGCGACTGTTAGGATATACTGTATGTTACACCTCTGTGTGACTTAATGTGACTGTTTGTCTTTCTTCAACAAAGATATAGGAGATGAATGCAACCACACTGTCAGTTAGACAGGTCTTGTATTTACTACTTATGTAAATCTTTTGTTCATGTGAAAATAACTTTTATACTTGCCTGTGTACAATGACTGGGTTTTGTTGAACCATCTCATTAAAATTTACATCAGACTTGTATTACTCATTCGGTGTGGTCATCCTCTGTTGTTTTTTGTTGCTTAAGTCTGGCACCATCACCCTCTATAGGTCTGACTCAGAGTCAAATATTAAACTGGAATGGATCGCTCCCACACAAACTCTTCTGACTACTCAATGACTAAAAAATAGGGAGTCTGGGAAGAAATGAGAATGGTGGAGACTGTCCAGCTCTAATCAGTGAGACTACTGAGAGAGACAGAGGGAGGACATTGAGTTACGAGCCCTGTGACCACTAAGCAGAACAGACCTTTTCTGGTTCAATTATTAATGCTTTGAAGGGGGTAATGGAGGGGGAAATTATTCCTTTTTTTAAAAAGTCTAATATCTTAGGTTGATACCATATGAGAAGGTGATCAGTACATCATCATTTATCATATTTAGGACAATAAGGCAAGCACACGCCAAAGATGAAACCGCAAATTGTATTGAAGATACGGCAACATTACATTCAAAGCACATCACCTGGCAGTCACTGAACAGAAAAGTAAAATAGGACCTCGCCTAATACTGCACAAATAAGTTACATTCACAAAAATATCACTGTAAAAATACCATGAGTCAGTGATCAGAGTCGAACATAATGTCAAGAAAGAATGATCACTGGCACCTAAATTAAAAAGTATCACCCTAATCCTATTTTATTCTGCACCACATTGTGAGTGATCCTGAAGCTTTCTGCAACACTTGCTATCCAACTTCCGTTTGGAGGCTATTCCTTTAGACCTACTTTGTGACACATAAATATCATGCTACAGTTTAAATATTTGCTGATTATCACAGAAGAAGGTACAAAATATCTACCTAACAACATCTAATTTCAGATGTTTGAGAAAGAAATTATTACATAAAGTGACTACAACTATTAATTGTAACACAGTCATCCTCACATTTACATTTGGAGCACATCGTCGTGTACCCATTGTCCTAACTTTTGGCCATTATAGATATATTGGTTGTCATTTACTGTACTGCTTATTAGTAATTATTTTATAAAAGAGTAGGGAATGTTAAAGCAATACTCACTTATACAACCCTGTTTCCGCATAAGGCTCTTCAAATGACCCTGTAGTGTTGTCTAAATGCTAAAGAAATCAAACATTTTTTGGTCCATATTACACCTGTCATGCATTATCAAAAACTAAGAATGTATTCTGAAAATGTCATTTTACAGTTTCTTCCTCTTTACAATCTACGTTCTTGTAGTCATTGGGCAAGTTAAATTGTAATCCTATCCAGCACGATATCCTGAGTTATAGCTCAGGTTACATAAACATACACACTAACCTGAGAGCAAAATTGTACTCCAATCCATATACAGTATTGTATACGCTGCAGTCTTTCACGCACAATAACTAATCACTAGTAAGTTATGCAAAAAGTTATGCAATATAGTAATTTAATTTAGACCCTCAGCTGCTCATAAGACCTGCCAAGACTCCTAAATACATGTAACTTGATTGATGAATTCACTTTCAACAACCAATTATTGTCTGTAATTCATGATATACATATTAATATGTTTGATAAGTGTCTTCTGTTTTTTTTTGTTGAAAAGTGCTATGAAATGTGATTCATTGAACATTACATAAATATACTGGGAGTAATTGAGGTCTTTTTAAATATGTTGGACATTTACAGTGTCTGTATTTCCAGCATGTGATTCTTATCGAGGAAAGTTAATCTGATGCAAAATGATAATATGACTATGCCTGACTTGCGATGATTTGGCCTGTGTTAAAAGCTCATAAGTGTGTATGCGTGTAGGCCTTTTCATGGAAAGTGGTCCCACTGGCATGTTGATGGACAGACTCCATTAGCTGCATCGCTGAGGTGAATGGTGATACAGGAAGGGAAAGGTTGAGAGTTTATAAGGGTCAGGAGGTGAAGTAGGAGTTCTGCATGGAGTAGAGACGGTCAATGGGGTTTCCCACCCGCCCTGGCAGGAGACTGCCATCCCCTGTTGCTAAGAGGCAGTCTCCAAGGTGACCGAGGCTTCCGTCGCTGTCCAGATCATGAAACACTGTCTCTGAGTCTGCAGTGAAAAAGAGGTTGCACAGCTGAAGTGGAACGTCTTTAATTAGGACCAGAGAGCACAGAAGAATATAAAATGAATATGAAAGTAAGCACAAATTTTAACTCAAAACTCAAATGCTGATGGAGCTACCAAACAAATAGTGAGTCTGCCTTGGTAGCATGTAAAACATGTTCTTGAAACATCCTTCTATAAGCTAATGCAATATGATGCAACTCTTTGAGTACAAAAAATAAATTTTGCCTAACAATCTCCCACTGCACATTTTCTAAGCAAATTGTTAATAAAATATTGGGCAAGGCAATTGCTTGACTATGTGGCAGTGTATAAGGCTCCATTAAACTCGGTGGTTTGATAGTAGACTGACATTTACTGTTACTACAGAGACTAACTTGTGTTCTTGAATTCTTGTTTTGACTGTCATGGGGGTGGGGGAGAAAATGACAAAACCTTCATTTTGACAGTTTCTTTTGAATTTGCAGCTTCAACCTCCTGTCTTACCATAGGAGTGGAGCTGCTCATTGTTCAGCTGAGGCGGTGTAAGCCCATGTCGAAATGGCTCTCCGCCATAGATGTTGGGGTCCAGGGCGAGTAGCTGCTGACGTGGCAGAGAGGGATACCCCAGTATCCCATCCATGCCATGGGTACTAGAGCCATCTGTGTAGACATGAGAATTCCTTTAGTCATACAATTTCATAGTCTATTCTTCTAATTTTTGCTGTCTTCTGTTCTTCTTGATCCTGCACTGGCACTCACCCTCACTGTCGTCATTGCTCTGGCGGCCCCCTCTACTTGTTCCTCTCCTGGTCCCTCCCAGCTGCTCTTGTTCCTGCTGCTGCTGCTGCTGCTGCTGCTGTCGGCGAGCTATCTTTTTCATCTGATGCACAAAAACACACACAGTGTATGTATGCATTTTCTCTGTGTGTTGATGTGTGACACAGAACTTGTCCTAAAATGCATGAAGTCTAACCTTGGCTCTCTGGTTCTGAAACCACACCTGCACAACGCGCACTGTCAGCCCAGTCTCTGCAGCCAGTGTCTCTCTCACCTACAGGTTAGAGTTTTTCATTGTTTTACACACCTTATAGCGTCAAACACAGCTTGAGATGAATTGCTATGCAGGCTTACAAAGATGCCCAAGAACAGTAACGTTTGCAAGGAAAGGGAGTATTTTCTGGCAGACATTTCCATTGATAAGACAAATTGGTCCACCCACCTTGCGGCAAGGCTTAGCGGACACTTCAAAGGAGGCCTTGAAAGCACGCCGCTGCTGTGTGGTCAAGATGGTGCGTGGACGTTTTGAACGCTTGTGCTCCTTGCCTTCATCACCACCTTTCCCCCCGCCAGAGCCTCCTCCACCATCCTCATCCTCACTTTTCACTAAGCAAGATAAGCAGAAAACAAAACAGTCAGAACAGCACTTAGGAGAAGGTACATTTTCATTCTTCCTTAAATGAAAAATAAGTATTTAAAACTGGAGTGGCTGTGAGGAAAAGCTCAAGTGTTTCTTCAACTGGTTTGGCTGTGCTAGTTCAGTGTTAAATTATTCCAGTGCACTGGAGGTTTAACTCGATGCTATAGAAAATTCCCAGAATGCACTAAAAAACAGAAAGCAGACTATCCTCACTGATCAGAATTCAGCACACTTCTGCTACACTTTCCAAACACAAGTAACATTATCTGAAAATGACAGATGACATAGCAAACTTTATTTAAAAATGGAGCTTTTGTAAAATGTATTTTTGATGACCGTTTGGCCATCATGATGCCAAGCAGTTGTGTTGTGTCACTGACTCAGTATCCCAGTGGTCAGTGAGCCCGCAACCTACTCAACACCTGAGATCCAGTTCAAATATGTATTTCCTGCCTACTGAACTAGAAAGTAGCTTGTGACTAGCCCTTCAGCAGGTATTTACTTGTCTGCAGTGGAGGAATGTGATTGAGATTGGCTGTGCTGAAAAATATGTTAAATTTATGAATGTAAACGAAAGAGAATTTCATTAAGATGTGTGTAGAAAAGCCAAGCAATTTTGAATTGATTTCTATGTGGTTCAGGCAGAAATACCATAACAAACCTACTTTACCTGATTCAGTTGGTGTGGGACTAATAGCAGCCAGCATTTCCCTCTCCTTCTCATAGTCCATGCGGCAGAGCAGCTGACCTTCTTTCAGCACAAACTCATCACCTCTTTGCAGCCGGCGTTCACACTCACAGCAAGTGAAGCAGCCCAGGTGGTACACCTGGCCTTGCACGCGCATTATCAGCTCTGTACGTCCAATCACCTGCAAGCATGCGCTGCACTTCCTTACAAACAGCCTGTCGGGGCAGAGACAGACATACACAGACTTATATGTGAAGGACATAAACATAAACTTTAAAACATGGCATTATAAGGAGTCAAGGAGAGCAGAAAAAGAAAGGTGGGGTAATTAAAGATGGAGACACACAAGGAACTCCGATACATTAACCTTCAGCTCAAATGATTCTGGAAATTAGCATAGTCTCTTAATTAAAGGTCGTATAAACATTACCCAATTCACAGAGCAACAAAGTGAACATCTGCTGAGAGGAATTACAGTAGTTGGATTTTTTATATTGTATTTTCTTTTCTTACTCATTACAGTAGGTGGCAGTAGTTAGCTTATGATAAGAGAGATGCCTGTTGTGTGTCCTTTTCTTTTAAATCCTGAAATGTTGAAGGGGTAAACTCCAGTATAACCACACACCACCCACAGTCTTAAAGTACTTATTTAACACTATGAATAAAGCTTAATAGAGAGTCTTTCTCAGCTCTATTGCTTTTCCCCATGGCCACTTTCCTCCTTTTGTCCCTCCATCTCTCCTCCTGTGAGATGTTATAACCCTTCAGTTTCTCTCCTGCCTGACCATCTCTTCTCATCCTTATTTCCATTCACAGGGACCAAGTCTGCCATTAAATTCCTCTCAAATCCCT